TCTGAAAAATGTTGCCCCAGGATTCACATGTTTGTTAGGTACCCCCATTTAGCCCTCCCACATTTACCAAACTACATGGAGACTGCAGTGTGAAATTAATGATTTTCCAGGAATCTAAAATGTGCCATTAATATGCATCCAACTCGCCTCTTCCCTGAGCTGAAGGTGCCTATCCTGACCCTGCCTACATGTTTCTACACCCAGTTACATTTTTCAGCCCATGGGCAGCTCCACAATTAAATTCCACATTCACTGGGAGAAAGGTGGGCAAAACATATTTCAGATCCTTTAAAGGAAAAGGCACAACCTGCAACACAACAAGGGAAGGGGTGATTTGAGAAATTACAGCACTGTTTTTTTTTTTTAAGCTTTCATAGAATAAACACAGAGAATGGGAGGGAAACTTTGTCCCCCTCTGCTCCTGTTCTTGAAGTGAATACATATTTGTGTTTCCAATAAAAGGCCATTTTTACATTAACTGTCTGTAACAGCAGGAGACAGAAAAACTAACACAATCTCCACATCACACACAGGATGATCTTCATATCACGTGGACCTATTCTCAAAACTATTATTTATAAAAGACAACTCAGAAAATGCACAATGCATCTTTTCTGTGCCACCAAAAGGGCACTGTCTGAAGAACTTTGGGATCTTTGGGATCTTACACATTTTAGATATATATTTTTTTTTCTTTTTTGGCTTTCCAAAGTAAATTTAGCAGCCATGCGGGCCACCGTGTTTAATTAAGCTTTCAAAAGTCCTCTGACAATGCCAACAATTGTAGGACACTTCTGCGGCTCAATCATGCAATCACTGTGACAGTTCTATTTACAATTTGTCTTAGAAAGAGTTTCTCTGACATTGTACTTTGACAAAACATCCAAGCTGCCAGTTCACAACCTTTCTCTGTCTTATTTACAAATACAGCTTGTATATAGGACTCCCAGTTTCATGAACATGAGTCTTTGGGTAGGGGATTCACAAACAGAGCTCCCTATGGAAATATCCTAGGTATTTATTAGAAAACAATATTCTCAACTCTCTGGATTCTGAAGGTAAATAAAATGTTTGCCAGTATATTGGTTGATTTTTTTTAAGTGCTGATGTTTTTTGTTGTTGTTGTTTGTTTGTTTGTTTTAGCTGCCAGGCTTGAAAATTCACTTCGGAGGTCAGTAGTTTTTATTCAGAACCACACAAATGAAGAGAAATGAAAAATAAGTAGTTATAATAGGATACTATAATTTATACTCTCATTTACAATTATACCATAAAGTATACAAATACATCCTCCAGTCCGAGTTAGGAAAGAATTAAAATGGGTACAAAAAGAAAAGGCAAGTTGATTTTCTAAATTCTGAAAAGCACAAATACGTTATACTTGATTTACCTGTAAGCAACATGCTAATGTTTTTCCATTTAAAATTAGTATAACCCCCTTCATGAGTGTTTCTGTCTTACATATCATTATCTAGATATCAGCTATACTGTCTAGGAAAATATTTCCAATATCCTGATATGTTTATGTTCAAGATTTTAAGGAGAAAACAATGTTACATATCAATAACACCAGACTTGACTGCACTTTATGGGATTTATTATATTTTCCCCATTTCTCTTAAATACTAACTTCTATGACAGTCCAACCCTAATTTAAAGATTCCTATGTGCAATAAGTCAAAACTCCAAATCTGACACTGTGGATTAATATTTTTGGCCTTCTCTGTAAGAAAACAGCAGTTTCACATCCACTAATCTTCGATGAATATTTCCCCCATCATAAAATAAGAGACTCAAAAACAACAAAATCCATATTGAAAGCTCTGACTGACAGTTAAAGCTGCTTGTATCTGATGGTGAGTACTTCCACACACATATTGACAGACTGGGCCCACAAGATATAAGGTACATTTCCAGTTCAATTAATACTATTTCAGTGGTCTCTGTAGATCACAATCACACAATATACCACATATCTGAATAAAATGGAAAAAGCAACCCTGACCTGGGCACAGGTAACACCTGCACATGGATGGAGTTGGGAGCACATACCATCTATTCACCAGGTAAAAAGCATCTTCCAAAAACCACTCAGCTTTGGGAGGCCTGAGCACAGTCAAAATGCACACTATTTTACAGAGCTTATGAACTCTACCTTATTCTCCTATTTGAAAGCCCCAAATTCTAAGCTTTATTTATCTGACGAAGATCTGTCACGGTTTTATTCCTGCTTCCTTTCTACAAAATGGCACAGAGCACACTGTGAACTCAAATCCAACTTACATCAGTTTAATAAAGCCTTTCCTACACAGCGTGCTTAAATGACTACCTTTTATGTAGTTGCCAAACATATTCTTCCAGAGATTCATCAATATATCTCTTTCCTAATACAGACATTGCTTCTCCTTTTTTTTTGTGACACACAATTCAAATATCTACTGAATGATTACTGTTATTGTTTCCTTCCTCATCATAAGGAGGAGAAAAGCAGACTTAGAATTGTGGAGATGTGCATTAGAGAAATGGGCTGGGAATAACACAGCCGTCTTTCCAGAACTTCACTTCAGGGGCACCTGAGGGCCAGAGCATCATAATTTATATGCATTGGTAGAATGTTAATTTCACCATAGGAAACTCTTAATTCATTACCGTGAATTATGATAAGTCATGATTCTAGTTACTGACATCTCACTTTGAGATGTGACCATGCTATTTATGTTCAGCCAATTCCAGAGTGGGAACAGGTGATTAAACACAATGAAAGGAATCAAGACTTTGTAWTTATTCCTGTTTGCAAGGTTTACCTCACCTGGATCCAAGCACTTGTGCACCCATTGACTATCTTAGATAGCTTTCCATCTCAGTGCAACTATGTCGGATTAGCCTCATAAAGTATATCTTGAATTTGCCTTATTTGTTGTTGGAGGAAGGGACTTCTCTAGGCTCTGCTATTAAACCAGTTCCAAAAAAAAAAAAAAAAAAAAAAGGAACTGAACCATTATGACAACCAGAGAATTAAAACCAATTTCTTTCCCCATGTAGATTCACAACTGTAAGAGTAAAAAGCCTTAACTATTTATAAGGCCCGCCCCAGCCTCAGAATCCTCCTCTAAATACAGAGGTCCAGAATTTCGAGCTGGTTAATCTGAGACTGAATAACTATCTGGAACCTCAGTAAGAAGTGTGGTTTTAATTCTTGCCTGACAGACACTGTGTTTTGTCTTTTAAACGAGCAGCTCGATATGTAAATACGGTGTTACATCACGCAAGCGTTACTCCATATTTGGTGATTTAGCAAGGCTTTGGATCTCCAAAGACGACAAATCCCCTTCCGCCTGCTCTTGCTTCATTAATCATGCCTTACACTTCTGTTCATTTTCCTTCCAGTCACAAGACAGCACATGGAAATGGTCATTGCCATATCCTACTGTGGGGTGGGGGGAGATGAAAACCTTAACCTATGTGTCACATAAGCTAAATGTGGTAGATTTAAGAAAAACACTTCACAAATGCAGCTTTTCTGGAAGCAGACTTCTCATTTTACTAAAGGAAAAGTATCTGAGTGTTACTACAGAAAACATTTTTTAAGAAAGAAAGAAGATGCCATGTTTGATTTTAATGATCAAATTTGGGGGGGGGCATTATATGACATTTACTCCCCTCTAGCCACTGACCTATTACGGTTTAACTCTGTGGTCAAACTATGTCAGAGAGACAAATTTCAGGGAATCCATTGATTATATGCACTACCTTTCCTAAAACCGAACAAATCTTCTGCTTGGGGTGGGGGTGTGTGGAAGAAAGTGATCCATTCATTGATAGGCGTGGTGTTTCTCTCACCACAGAATCTGCACTTGCTTTGTCTAATGTGCTAAATCAAAAAGTGTCTTAAGGGTCACCATATAGTGTTGCTGTTTATCACTCAGAGTAAGGAATTTAAGTCCCTCTCTTAGCCTTTAATTACTTTCCCCTTAAGCTGCTAAGAAACCCACACATCTAGCTACCTCCCTGGTAAAATTAACCGAAGGAGGGAGAGCTGTTGAATATGTATATGTATTTTTTCCAAGAAAAATTTTACATTGTGTTATAGCAGAAACATTGGAGTCTGGACTGGACATTTGTAAGGGTGACATGTGGTTGTGTAAACCACAAACAAAATCAAGATACATCTGTCAAAACCACATCAGAGACAAGAGAGAGCACAGAGAAGCATTTATCATTGAGCTGAGGAGGCAGGCTGCAGGGAGCAGCCGTTCCTGTCAAACCAACCTTTTGAAATTTCCAACATGCCCTTAAACTTTTCGAGTAAGCATGTCTGTGCGCTTCAGCAACTGCCCTCTCTACTCTGGCCTGGCCAGTTGAAAATGGCATCTTAAAGTCAAGGTCACGGTGTCATCCCACCACGGGGCTGTGTTTAATTACAGCCCCATACGGGCTGACAGCCAATATGGATCCAAGGCTAGCCCTGGAGCTCAGTTAACTCTTTCCATCCTCTCCAAGCCACCCTGACAGCCCACCCCACTTCAGGGAAGCCTTGAGAACTAACTGCACTCCTAGGGAGGCCCAACCAGGTATCCTGAGTCAAGCAGGTCATTGGCTGAACCACAAATGTCTATGTGGCCGCTTTGCCTCTGACAAGTCACCAAGGCCAGAAATGGATGTTGAAAGCTGGGCTGGGTGTAGTTAAGGTTCAACACTTTAAAATGAGAAGAAGGCAGGCATAGAGAAGGAAAGAAATTCAGAGTCAGCAGATCCAGAGAGAGGGTGTCAGGTGTGTGTACCTATTCCACCTACATCTGACTCCATGAGGTGGAAAATATTTATTTTCTGTGTTCTGGACATATGCAATAGGAATGATTATTTTAACATTACAGGGCTGTCATGGACAGTCACATGGAGATATACAGAAAGCACTTCACCCCTCCTTACTGCTTGGCTACAGCACCTCTGAAAATGAAAAGAAAACATGCAAACAGCTTTTCTCCTTGCTTCTCATTTACCTGCTATGTGTTCCTGTTTGGGGCAAATTCCTCTAGATGACGTTGATAAACAATCGTCATCCTCTGGCGTGACCTGGATGCCAACCTCCACAGGATTGGATGCTTTTTTCATCTCGATTGGTGAAGGGGAAGGTGGCTTATCCACAGCTTTTTCTAAGCAGAGGCTGCCATTGCATTGTTTCCGTTTGTGCTCGATAAAAATAAGAATGTCCCCCAATGGGAAGTTCATCTGGCACTGCCCACAGGTGAGGAGGTCATGGTCCCCTTCCGGAGCTCCCAACGGGCCGTGGTCTGGTTCATCATCTGTAAGAATGGCTTCAAGAGGTTCGGCTGTGGTTGGAAAAACAAAAGCACAATTATTAAAGTGCCAGAGGGGAGAGAAAAGGGGGAAAATACATTCTCAACCCCATCCCACCCTTCCACATCATGTAAAGTGTTTCTAGTTTTCTCTATGTAACAGAAAAATTTGAGCATGCAAAATGTACGAGGATGTGGAGGTTATCAACAAGAAAGTGCACTTATCAACGAAGCAAATCATCATGTATTCAAAAAAACCTGTCTGACTTGTGTAACTCCAAAGGAAACACACACACACACACACACACACACACACACAATTCAAATAGGTCTGGTTTATAAGTTTTGGAAGAATGTGACTTAAACAAATAGTTAACACAAGGAGCATAAAGAATGCTTAAATAATAACTACCAAGAAAAACTGGTAAAAACATGGATTGAAACCAAATTTGTTTCTTTAACACCAAGTTGTCTATTATGCCAAAGAAAAAGGGAGGTGAAAAAACACATATACTCTTTGTGTGTGAATGTATATACACTTAAGTATACAGACACAGTTTCATGAATAAGAAAGCTACTATAGCACAATGTGCCACATTTACACTGCTGTAACAACAAAAAAAAAAAACCTACTGGATTCACCTGTGAAACAGATCTAAGTAATAATCATAACGCAGCATAATTCACTCTGCCAAATATCTTTCTGATCCTACTCTCAGCAGTGCCACAAAATCAAAGAAATACCAAATTCACTGGCAATTCTTCTCAGACACATTAGCTAAATGGGATACTTTGAGTACTTAAGAAAATAAGCCAATTAGTCATTTTTTCATTCTGAAGAAAGGAAAGCCTAAAATATTCTAAACATGTTTGCACTTGGTGGCATCCATGACATAAAAATCAGAATGGTCAAGCAAACGCCACATTTCAGAAAAGGGCTGAGAAGTCCTTTCTTTAGACTTGAAATACTTCGCCTAATGTTGTCAAAGTTGACTRATTTTCTGAATGAGCTCCAAAACGCTTCATTATGGGACTATTTCTGCACACATAATCACCAGCGGATGGTATAACAAGGTAGACATGTCTTTCTGTCCTGTTTTTCTTTCTTTCTTTTTTTTTTCCCACTTTGTACTAAAATACTCTAGCATCTATTTGAACCGCTTCTATCATTTTTTTTTTAACCTTCCAGAGGGGAAAGGAGATCTGGGAAGTCTCTGCTTGTGAAACATTATGCTTGCTCTATCCCCCACAAAAATCATAAAATACAAAACACCACCAGGATGTTGCCAGTTAAAAAAAAAAGTGAAGCAGAAAATGTACAAGTCTTAAACAGTTAATCAGTCTGACCTTCTTTAGCAAGCTGCCAATTTCACATTTAATGAACTTAAAGCCACAGAGAATCAAAAAATAGATTTTAATTTGAGTGTAGAATATTGGAACAGATTTTGATAAAGTGCAAAAATCCAGTGAACTCAGGTTAAATTTATTTCAACCCTACCCAGGCTGAATATTGAGGGGGAAGATCTGGAGTAACTCCCAGATGTGCTGGGTGAAATAATATTGAGAGAGCCCTGCCTAGCTGCACCTGTGCTCAAGTAGGACATGTCATAATTTCTAGCCTCTGGTACACCTCCTAATTTAACATAAGGTCACCACAGGAATATGAAGGTTATCTCCCTACTAATAAAGACAGCAAAGTAAGCACTTAAATGTTTCTTTGCCCAACATTCTGGCCAAAAGGTAAATTCAAAATGCACATGCATAAAAGGAGAGGAATGGAAGTGTTTTTGCTTTGTGCCTTTCTGTCATTTTTCTCCTACATTTTGCTTTCATTTTGACCAAGTGAAAAATGGAATAGGGAAATCATCTCCAAGATCCCTGCTATTTGAATTAAGTACAYACTGACAAATGTTGGCTTTTTCCTGTTGTTGTTATTGTTTAGCATTAACTACAGGTGCTGAGGTTTGCAGACTGAAAGAAGACTCAAGAAAAAAATATTTTATTAAAGTTAAAACATTTTTACAAATGCCACCATTAAGAAATGGGTTTGCTTGTTTTTTAATTCCCAAGGCCTGACATGTTCCTGAATGTGAGATTATTATTTAGAAGCAAAAGGAAATATTCTCCTAGGTATCAAATAGTTAAAGGTAATTCGGTACAAAACAGACTTGGTTAAAGTCTTCTAAATGTAGTGACTGAACTGATTTACAATCAAAACCAGGAAATGAAGTGGTAATTCACAGGTTGCTGATTACACCTCCACATTTCACCTAATTAATTTTATAGGAGGCAAAGTTCTTGAAAATAACAAGATGATCAAATGTACAGATATAAAACCTGTAACCTCAACATTTTCTATGCTCTTAACGTAAATTATTGCTAATTAACAAGAATTATATCCTAATGTATGAAATACATTTAACATCGGCTCCTTGAAAAACATTTGGTTAGAAATGTTCAGAGAAAGACTCAAACGTGTTTTTATTATTGCTGCTATATTATTAAAAATCAGACGAAGTGGGGGACAAAGAAAATATGAAAATACAATTCTCTTGTTGCAGTCTACTGATTTACATTGACATCTTTTCTCAGTGGCAATCAACATTTCCTTTCTGGGCATCAGATAATTTCTCTGTATTTTAATGCAAATTCCTCTTTCCCTAAAAACATTCCTAACCTCAGTCATTTTACCCCCTCCCTCAACTCAACTCCATCCTCCTTCCCCCCACAAAACCATCGTTTCTAAGCTCCGGCCTAACTCTAGCTACAAAGCGGGGAGTCCTCGATTGAAGTGGAAGGGAGTGGGCAAATAATCATAATAATTAGCCGCGAATTCTCTCTACAAGGGAAGGAAGAAATAGAAAATAAAATGCTTCTGCGTTCAGCAAAACGTACTGGAACGTCTCAGTGTCCCGGAGGCTGACTGAGATCTCTTTCCTCTTTTCTGTAGTTGCAAAAGAATAAATTTAAAAAAAAAAAAAATCCTTAGAAGAAATGTCGGGAAGAAGCAAGGGAAATGAGGGCTGCCGGGGAGGGGGGAGGGGTAAAGGGAAATGTGTCTTCAAGTTTGCTTTCCAAGTCCTTCCCCTAGAATTTTCCTAACAGGGTAAACCAAACGGGAGGATGAAATGCAAAGGAGGAAAAGCAAAGAAACAAAAGCGAAGCCAGAGGCTGCAGGCCCCGGGCCGGGGGCCCAGCATGGGGTGGGCAGTGCAGAAAGTGAAGTTGGGCCGCCCGGACTCTGAGGCACAAAGCGATCAGCCTCCAGGCTACAGGATCTGGCCGCGCTAGCTGCGAACACGTGCAGCAGCGGCCTTGGGGCCCGGACCCAGGGCCCAGCGGCGGCGGGCAGCCAGGGGCCTCCGCTGCAGCCTGACGCCCACAGCCGGGCCGCGGGGTGATGGTTCCCTAGGCCCGCCAGTTGGTGAAAAAGGAAGTGGGGTTTGGAAAATTCGGCTGGTTAACCTGGTGCAGTCTTGGTTTCATATCTCTCTCTCTCTCTCTCTCTCTCTCTCTCTCTCACACACACACACACACACACACACAGCCAAGAGCTGGTCCTGAAATTCATTCTCCCACACGCTAACACTTTTTACTTTACAGGATCTGTGCAAATGCTTTTTCCCCTCGCAAGTCTATGCACCCGGTGTGCGTCAGGCGGCGGCCACGGTTATTCATTATTAATGACGCTGCTTGCCCGCATCATTATGATGATAACTATTACTATTGTTGTGATTTCGGGCTCCGAGGCGAGAGCTGCGGGAGGCGGGGAGGGGGAGCATTGGGCTGCAGAGCTGCCCGGCATGCCTGCCTTAGCCGCCGAGACCTGTGCTTTGCGTGGGGAAGAGGGGTTGGGAGAAGTGAACCTGGAGACCAAATGCAAACTTGCTATATATTCCTCCCTTCGGCGGTGCCCTGAAGCCTGAGAGCGCGCACTACCCTTTTCTTGGTACCAAAAATGCCTGGCCCGAAAGAAAGCGAAAACTGCACCCCGCTCCGCGCCCGATACACTGGTCTCCTCTGCTCGCGCACAGGGGTGGCGGCCGCGCGCCCGGTCGCCTCTTCCCGGCCCTGGCCAGAAGCATTTTTAAAGTCAAAATGAAGAACAAAGACACAAGGGGTGATGGGGGGTGGGGGGAAGAAAGGGAATTCTGCCCAACCGTTCGTTACCCCCACCCCCACCCTCGCAAAGCTCGTCCCTCCCCGGCCAAGGAACGCCGGGCAGGGGGTGGGGGAGGCTCTGGTACAGGTTCAAGTTCGCTGAGCTTTCTTGATCTTGTTCTGCCTCCTAGCGACCGAATGGCTCATTCAGCCCACGTAGCAAAGGGGGGGGGGGTTCCTGAGGACCGGGAATGGCTCCCGCCCCCTCTGCGCACCCAGAAAATTAGAGAAAGGAACGATCTCCGTACCCCCACAAAATCTGGCCCCCTAACCCAGTGCCCGCACTGGGACTGGCAGGGAGACTAACCCTCCCATTCTGGAGTGTCCCGAAATGGACCCAAGAGGGAGGAGGTACCAGGGAGCAGTTCGGACTGCGCGCCCCAGTCGATCCTTTGAGCCCCCACTGCATCCTTCCGAATGGCCGGGCTTTCCCGAGTCCTGCGAACACTGCCCTTCCTTCCCGCCGGTACCTGGCCGGGTAGTAACTTCACACCGCCGCGCGCCGCGTCTGCTCCGCATCCGGCGCGGCCGGGGGAGTGGGGGCGGGGGAGAGCGCGAGGGAGGGATGCGCGGGGGTGGGGAGAGGGAGGGCCCCGCAACGTGCCCGGGCGGGGGAGCTTCCGAAGTGTGTGACAAGTTCCAGGGCCCAGTGAAAAATTCAATTCCCAGTGCTCATCCCCCCCCCTTTAAAAAAAAAATACAGAAGCGAGTATAGGTGGTCCTTTAAACTTGCATCAAAAATTAAAAGAGGAGTTATGAATGCGGGAGCAGGGTTTGATGAGGGCCCTCTCACGCCTTTCTCTCTATTACTCTCAAACTTTCCTAAGTGCCTACGCCCGCCTTTCCAGGCGCCGCTCAGCTGGAGTTAGCCACCACTACCCCTCACACAGGCTCACGAGGACCCCCGACCAAGCCAGGCCCAAGGTAAAGGACAAGAACCTAAAGGTGGAGCGTGCAGGGTCCTGGGATCCAGTACCCCCAAAATGCATATTCGAACACACTTCTCCCTTATCCCACCCCCTCCGTTAACCTGGTCTGGCCACGGCAGGGTGCTGGAGGCTGATGGCCGGACAGAGTGGGAGAGGGGCAGGGAAAGCACGTGGTGACCTCCCCGGGGTCCAGAGCAAGAGAAGTCCGAGAGAGTACCCGGGGCTAAGTGGAGCGGGCGCGCAGAACGCGCTTTTACAGTTGCTTTGCAAAATAAAAGTGCTTTACAAAACCGAATTTCAACCAGCCGATTTCACAGTCTGGGAGGTCGGGACCGGAGATCAGGGCATTGTGCTGGGGATGGACGGGGACCGCGGGCCGGACTGGCTCCCAGTCGCGGTTTGGCCAGCAGCGGTGCCTGGCGGGTGGGCGGCGGGCGCGGGGTGGGCGATCCGGGGTTAGACTGGGGCGCGGCGAGGTCGCCGAGGCCCGGTCGAGGCCGCCTCCTGCTCCCGGGCTGCCGCGCCGCGCACGGTCCTCTGTCTGTTTGTTGGCAGGAGGCTCCCGCACACGCGGTGCTTGTAAACATTCAGACACGAGATTTTTCCCAATCAAAATCCACTTCCACTTTTTTTGAAAATCTTCCAAAAAATAGTAAGAGGAGGGAGTTCCTCGCTCCCTCTCGGTGCCGCCGGCGCTTTTAAGTTTGCAACTGAAGGGGTTTGGGGGAAGGGGGTGATTGTCAATGCCCCCCCTCATTAGAGATTGTGAGATTTTTAAGGGGGGGGTGGGGGAGTCAAAGAGGAAAATGGTGAAGAAAAGGGCTGGCAGAGCGTTTGACTTCTGTTTGAGGGCAAGAAATCTTACATTCTCTTGCCTTGTTTAATTTAATTCAAATTTTATTTATTTATTTTGCACGTCTTCTCCTCGCCGCCTCTAAGGTTCGGCCGGGAGGGGCGGGCAGCCGCAACCCGGCGGCCGCGGCCCAGGCTCCCTCCCTCCCTCTCCCGCGTGCCCCTGGCTGCCTCCTCCCCCGGCCCTAGCTCCTGCCTTCGGCGGCGGCGGCGGCGCAGGAGGGCAAGCTCTAGGAGCCGGCACAAAAGGCAGCGGGACAAACACCCACCTCCGGCCGGAACAAAAGGCGGCAGCGCCGGCCGCTTCTCCCGTCCTTCTCGGTCACCAGGCTTTCCCCGCCACCGCAGCCCCTCTCCCGACTCCGCAGACTCAGGAGCGCCGGGGGCCCCTTTCCACAGTCCCACTTTCTCACTATTGTGAGGCTGACTACTTTCCTCCCGCTGCACACTTGACCGTGAGCGCTTTGGTGTCCAAGGGCCGATCTTACCTCTTTTCTCCCCAGGAATTGTTTTTTAGACTTAGATATGCCTCCCCCCCCCCTCAGTTTTCCTACGGTGAGTGGAAGCAACCTCCTTTCCCTCCAGCTCCCACCCCCAGGTTTGCCTGTGAGTTGCTCTCATCCTTAGCATTGTTCATTATTTTGCAAAATCGGGGGGTGGGGGATCATTGCATTCCTTTTTGAAAAGAGAAATAAAGCGGCGGAAAGGAGAAAAGAGGAGGAGTCAAATTTTTGTAAAATTAAATAAAATTGAAAGGTGCGTGCTATCTCAAAAGTGCACACACGGCTATGATTCAAGAGGTGATGAGGATTTTTTCCCCTTTAATCTCTTTTACTTCGACTCTGAGGTTTTTCACGTGAAAATTTTAAAAATGCATGCACACACCTCTCTCTCTCCCTCGCTCTTGCTTCTCGTCCTGCGCGCTCTCGTGATTATTAATAATAATTATTACTATTATTGGGTTACTTACGCGAGAATTCCCGTTTGCTTAAGTGCTGGGGTTTGCCTTGCTTGCGGCGAGACATGGTGGGCTGCGGGGCGGGCGGGCGGCGGCGGCGGCGGCGGCGGCGGGCGGACGACGGCTCGGTTCACATCGGGAGAGCCGGGTTAGAAAGAAGGAGACTCCAGAGAAAATATCTTCATCAGTGCCTTTTGACATCCAAAATAAATTAGAAATAATACAAAGATGGCGCAGGGAAGATGAATTGTGGGAGAGCCGTCATGGCTTTTTTTTTAAGCAAAAAAAAAAAAAGGAGAGAGAGAGAGAGAAGAGAGATAGAGGGAGAGAGAGAGAGAGGGAGAGAGAGAGAGAGAGAGAGAGATGAAAAAAATGGCAAAAGCCCCCCTGAGCTGCAAGTTCAAGTGCGGACGTGACGTCCCTGCGAACTTGAACGTCAGGAGTCTGGATGGACAGAGACACACAAAACATGGGCAGGGCGAGCAGGAGAGAAGGGGAGGAGGGAAGGGGAAGCTCACACCAATGGACACACATCAGGGGCTGGACATGAAAAAGAGACCAGGACAAGCCAATGGCCAGTGCGGGGCGGGGGAGGTGCGGGGCGGGGGGCTCTGCAGACGCCAGACGCGGCCCCTGGGGGAGGGGCGGGTAGAGGGGAGGGGGCTTGGGGCCGCTGGCTCACCAGTGGCCGCAGCGAGCGCCGCGGCGGTGGCGTGGCCAGGAGAGAAGAAAGGGGTGGAGGGTTGGGAGGGGGGGAGCAGGACTTGCGCCTTGCTCCCCCCCGCCACACGCGGACCCTAAAATGAAAGATTATTTAAGAGGGGGAGGGGGGAAGAGTGCCCCAGGAGGCTGCAACCCAGGGCCGGGGAGGCGCGGGCGGAGGGAAGCCAGGTAGAGTTGCTCCCGGACACCCTCTCGGTGCGCACACCCACTTCCCCTCCCCGCCGCCGCGGCTCTCTCTCCCTGCCTGCTGACGCCCGGGGCCGAAGTGAAAGCCTCGAGCCCGCGGCAGCGCTCAGAAAACTTTGCCCACGGAGAGGATAGGAAAGAAAAATCACCCGAAGTTGAGAGCTGAACCTCCAAGTTACAGCTCCGCAGCGGGCAAGGGGAGGCGGGAGGGAGCGCGTGGAGAAGCGGAATCCAGCCCAAGTTTGGAGGGTTGTGGGTCCGGAAGGGTAGCGCCGGGGCCTCCTGGAGCCAGGGCGGCCTCGAGGGAGGGGGTTGGGGAGAAGGAAACGGCGCGGGCCTGGGCCCAAGGGCCGGGAGGGCGCCCCCAAAGCCGAACCAGGGACTGGGATATGAGAGCCCCAACAAGCCTCTGAGTCTAATGCAACTGGATGCACCGAGTTCCCAGCTCTCAAGGGTCGTAGGGAGAGAGACCGATGAATAAAGACCGAGGAGCCAGAGTCAGGGCGGGTTCCAGCCCAGGGAGGGGAGTGCTGGGGGCCGGGTCGATGGAGGCACTAAGGCTTCCACCTCTCTGAGCAGCCCAGGGCCGGAGGACAAAGCGCGGGCAATCTCAGGAGTCCCAGTCCCTGGGAACGTGCTCCCGGCGCCGCGGGAGGTCCCGGAGCCGGGTCTCTGGGAGGGACACACCCCCTCCCATTCCAGAGTTAACTGCAAAAGCGCAGAGGGATAGAAAGAAAATGATTCTTACGGGCGAAGCACAACAGTTCCTGTGCTGTTACCCAGGGAAAGAGAAAATGGGGAAAGGAGAGAGTGACTAGCTCTCAGGAGCCGCGGGAAGGCCACAGTGGCGAGATGACCGCCCCAGGTCAGCGCCTCACTGACTCCCCAGGCGCCCGCAGCCGTGGCGCACAACCCTGAGCCCGCAGCTCCTTCTCGCCTTTCTGCAAGACGTTCCCTGGAAATTAGGGAAGACCTGTTGGAAATAAACCCCTGTCTCTTTAATGCACACACGCACACACACGCGCGCTGCCGCTGTCAAAAAGCGGGCTTCACTCTGGCGTGGGATACTTTCAGTTTTACGTAAAATGTACAGCAACAGCACCCCCTGCGATTGGAAAGTTTATTCAGGAACGTGCCTGCAAAGTCCCCCGGCGTCTCCCGCCTCCCAGCCTCCCAGCCTGCCTGCACCACCCTGCAGCCGCCGCCGCCGCCGCCGCCGCCGCCGCCGCCGCCGCCGCTGCCGCCGCCGAGGAGATCGCGCTCGGATTCAAAATCGGGAAGGGCCGGCGGGCGGGGGGGAGGGCGGTGGAGATGGACTGAAGTCCGAGGGAGGCACGGAGGGTGCCGCGTAGAGACGGGTGGCCGCGGCCCGAGAGACCCCGAGCTGCAGGTGGACATGTGTGAGTGTGTCTGCAGAGCAAGGAGCCTTCCTTCCCTCTCCTCCAAGCGGCTCCACATTCCCTCGTGTTTTCTCATCCCCCTCTTCAGCCTGAGAGGTGTCGTTTCCGTAAATTCACCCAGCCGGCGGGGGGCTTTATTGTTTTAAGCAAGGGCCTCGGGCTTGCACGCGCTCACCCACCTCCCAGCTTCTCCGGCAAGCGGCTGGTTTTTTTTTTTTTTTTTTTTTTCCTGCGTCGTCTTAGGAAAGTTTCAAACCTATTACAAAATGACTGGCTCGCCTAGCTCGGTGAAGCTTCGGGCCCCTCTAAGGAAGGAAAGGAGGTTTTGATACCCAACACGAGGAGAGGTGTGGGCTGAACTGGGTTTGTGTGAATGGGGTTTGTTGTTATTATTGTTTCCCTCCAGTTTAAGGGGGGGGGGAGGACCTCCAATTCTTTTTAAGAAGCAGGAAGATTCACTCGCAGTAAAGCTCTGTAGCGTGTGCGTGACACCATTTCCCCTTTTCTCTGAGTTCTTCAGAGCAGGTCAGCGTCTCTTCCACTACTATCTGGGTTTTTGTCTTGTTAAATCAGTCTCCGAGCTACCAAAAGAATGCTACTRCGGTTGGGGTGGGAGGGTAGGTGGGACACTGAGTTGGATGGCTGGAGGGAAGGTAAGAAAGGGAAGAAGAAAGTGCAACTGGGAGGCCTTTGAAAAATAAATAAATAAAATAAAAGCCCCTTCAGGTAACAACGGTGAGTCAGGTTCTTTCAGAATGGAGCTTTTCAGATTTGAATCTTGTTCCCATCCATCCATAAAAGTTCATATAGAGAGAAGATATATAAATGGGAGGATTGTGTTGTGGAAATATATACTGTATATGTGTGATTTATATATAATGGTGTGTATAAAGCTTTTCAGGGTTGGCTGTAGTGTAAAAAGTAATGACTTTATTACCTCTGAAAGGTTCTGTGGTTCACATTTAACAGTCTTCTGAATTACAATTCATTACACAATTGTGTGCTCTCTAAAACCGGCACCCTATCAGGGCTGCTATCTGTGGTTATTTCCAATAAATAACTGGCAACATTTTATTGATTTTCTTTTTAAAAAAAATCATAGGAAATTAAGCACTTAGTTACAAGTAGGTCTGCTATGTTATTGCACTTGTTTCAGATTCCAGGGGGTTCCTTCCGAAACCACATCTTAAAACATACATTAAAAAACCAGCTTTGCAGCTGCTTTCCTTGGGTGCCAATGGAGAGGTAAGGAGCGACGTTTCCACCATTAACATATATTTAATTTCACCATCATAAAATGCCCAGGGTGAAATGGGGACTGCCCTCCTCCTCCGCCCCTCCCCCAGCCAGATTTCACCCAGTCTAGAAAACTAGGGCTGTGCGTTGGCATTTGATCTCTCCTTGTCGCGGACCCCCCTCCCGCGTCCCTCTAGCTCTGCGGTGCGGGCGACGCCCCCCTCCCTCATCGCTGCTGGATGCTCGCTACAGAGCCCAAAAGTGGGGGAGGGGGAGAGTTCGTACATGTGCTTAAAGAAGTAAAAATGTGTTGTTTTAAGAGATTTTAAAATATTACATAAGTATTGATTAATGATGCAGGTGGTTTTGYAGAGGGGGGGTGAAAGGTCACTTTAAACGCACACACTTGGATACACAATTAGTATATTTACCTTTCCAGAAGTGGCTTTTAGAAAGCAATAAATTATGACAATGTTAAAATATTTTTCTGGTCTTTCAGTTAACTTCGTTTGGGGCTGTAGAACCTTTTCTGCTTGCGTTGAGAGGGTAATTACGCTCCGTGGGCTCTTTCCCAAACCTTTGGTGACGACACTGCATGTAAACTCCAGGCCAACAGACGACCCCTCCCCTCCCCTCCTCCCACTTTTTATCTTGCCRGCGGAGGAGACTCCCCAGTACTTCCTGCAGTATATATTCTGCCTCTGATCTCCGTACTTAATAGCCAAGTCCTGGTTTATGCTTTATAATGTGTTGACAAGTTTTCTAACAGACTTTCTGAAATAATGCACATATATTCACGTCGGTTAGAAACCCACCGTATTTTTAGAGTCGAGTAGATCTATACCCTAATGCAGCGAGAGAGTGTAAATCATAGAGGATTTCATAGTCCTTTCAGTAGTTTTCGGTATGAAGTATGAGCCGCGTGGCCTCCAGACGTAACCTTTTAGAAAAAAAGACAGTGCTTTTATTTTATGGTGTAAAGTGCTTTTAGCTCCAGGGCTCTGAACGTGAATGTGGTCAACAAACAGCTCGAAGAGGGAGACTTAATACAGCCCCAGCCCTGGTGCGGAGGATCGCCTGGCGCTGGGGACTCGGGCTGAGCTGGAGAATGAAGGGTTAAAAGGTCTGTCTCGATGGAAACTACAAGATTAAAATAAAATATTCACTTTCTGCCTTTAGGGGAAAATACTTTATAGACTTAAAGATAAATAAATGAATGACTGAATGAATGATTAAAAATATAGTCAGTCCCACCTTGCTTTTATGACTTCATCCTTTCACCCTTTTTTCTTCCTGCTTTTCTTTATTATTATTTTGTTTTTCCTAATTGTCAGATCAGAAAATAGAAAATGGGCAGTTTTCTTCATACAAATAAAACAGGTTTCAACCCTGCATTTGATGTAGGTTTCGAATCTGGGGCTGTTGAGGATGGTGTGTTAAGGTGTTAGACAATGGGAAATGAATTTAAAAGGGAGGGAGATTGCCTTTGAGGAACCAGGTAGGCTTCCTCTTCCTCCTCTATCCCCAGTGTCACCTTGAACCTGAGACCCAAGAGATCCCTGGAGAGCAGCAGACACACCTCTGTATGGACACAGACTTGCCCCAGGAAGCTCCTAGTAGATCCATTATTCACTCAGTCTAGCATCTTTCTTCAGAGGGCCCCTGGGAGCTGGAGAGTTCCTTC